ACTTAGTGTTGAGCCTAGAGAGATTTGGTTGAAAGAATACTTGGTGTTAAGCATAGATGGGCTTGTTGTTCAAAGAATACTTAGGTAGTTGCTTAAAGCGACAAGTCAAAGACTACTTAGGATTGATCCAAAAGTGGCTTGGTAAAAAAATACTTGTAACTTCGTGAAAGTTAGTGAAACTCAATCTGGTTAGATTGAGAACTGGACGTAGTCTCGATGGTGAAGACGAACCAATATAAAATCTCTAGTGCTTCATTTGACTCTTTTTATAGTGCTTCATCTGATAAGTCATTTTATTTTCACTACATCAACATGTGAGTTTTTTATACACACTATCCAACCCCCTTTTTAGTGTGTCTTTTCTCCACAAAATCAAAAGTCACTCAAGAAAGACTACGATTAAGAGAGTTAAGCATCGCTTCAATAGTTGGGGCTTGATTCATTTTCTTAGTTTGACAATTGATAATGCCTCATCAAATGATGTTGGAATCCAATATCTCAAGAAGAGACTAATGGCATGGAATAATTTGGTTATGAAGGGAGATGATGTTCACATGTGTTGTTGTGCATATATTCTAAATTTAATTGAGAAATATAGATTCAAAGAAAACATTGATGCTATTATTAGAATTTGTATCATTGTCAAATATGTGAGATCTTCCCCTTCTAGGCTATCTAAATTCAAGGCATGTGTTGAGCAACATAACATTGAATTTAAAGGCCTTGTTTCCCTAGATGTTGAAACCAGATGAAATTCTACATACTTAATGTTGGAGGTTGCATTAAAACATCAAAAAGAATTTGAAGAGCTTGAGATGCAAGATAAAAAATACATTGAAGAGTTAGAAAAAGGGAAGGGTGTTCCTACATTTGATGATCGGGATCTTGTGCGTGTTATCTTGCCATTTTTAAAGTTGTTTCATGATGCTAGTGTGTGTATCTCTAGTCCATCTTATGTGACAAGCAATATGTACGTGTTTGAGGCCTTCAGAATCAAAATGAATATTAAGCATAAGTGTGCTTCCAAGGATGTGAATATAAGTACGATGGCTAAAAATATAAAGAAAAAATATGATAAATATTGAGACAATTTTGATCAATTGAATATCTTATTATTGATTGCTTTTATGTTGTATTCAAGATATAAATTAAAATGTATGCATTGGTTGATTAATCAAAGTTTTGATGGTGTTATGACATCTAATTTGAAAGATAAAGTATTAGATTTGGATATTTTAAATTGGTGGAAGTTAAATTCAGTTAATTTCCTAATCTTTCAAACATGGCAACAGATTTGCTTGTTATAATTGTTTCTACTATGGTCTCTAAATCTACCTTTAGTATTGGAGAAAGAGTTCTTGATCCATATCAAAATTCTCTAGCACCACAAATGGTAGAAACACTTATTTGTACACAAGATTGTCTAAAAGGGACAATTTCACCATTTTTTCAAATGAAATTGAGGATTTTGTGGAGTTTGGGAAATTTGAACAACATAATAAAATTTGTTTAATTTCTTTACACTATATTATTTTATTATCTACTTACTATAATATGACTATCTAATAATTGAGAATATTTTTCTATATGTTGCAGAAATTGTTTCCTCACAAGACAATGTATATTTAGCCTCCTCCATTACACTTGATGATGACTAGAGAAACACTTACAATATAGTTTAATGATGTTTTTATAATTTTATAGTTTTTATATTTTTTCCTAATGATTAATTTGGGTTACTCCATGAATATATGTTTGTTATTATGTGAAATTAAGTGAGGGCTATGCATGGAGATATACTCTCTAATACTTTTTTTTTCTTTGAACTGATTTTTTAGTTGTTTTATATGTATAGATCAGTTTAATTATTTGTTGGTCTTGTCATTTGGCATGATCTATCCAAAAAGTATTGGGCAGAATTTGTAACGAAATTATGAAAGTGTTGTAACTTGGGCTATTACACATGAATATATGTGCTCTAGTGATTTTATCTTTCAGTATAGAATTTTCATGAAGTATATTTTCTTTCTATGTGAAATAGAAGTTTTTCATAAATGAGGAATGTTTGTTCAATTTGGAGTTTTTATCATACTATTATTAGTGAATTTATTTATAATTTATTGAATTTTCTTTTTGACACTACTTTTATATATAGGAAACATCATTAAATCGCAAATGTTTTTATAACAGAAAAAAATACAAGCTTTGAAACTAGTTTTAATATAAGAAAAGCCAATAAACTTGTATATGGTTTTTATAGTAGAAAAAATATAGGAAAATCAATTCTTTAAAATTGATTTGAAATTATTCATTTTTTAAAACGTTCAAAAATGTGTTTGCTTTTGAAACTGGTTATAAACTTGTTTATTAAAATAATTTAGTTTTAAATCAATTTATTAAAGTGATTCAAATGGTTTATAAACCAATTTAGTTTAGTAAAATGATCTGGTTCAATTTGGTATGTTTTTTTTTTCATAAAAACCAAACTATGCACACCCCTTTGAATTGATTTAAAATTAAAACCTAATTCATTTCGAAGAAAAACTTGAACCGATCCACTTTGAAAAATCAATTCCATTAAATTATCTATTTTGTATTGGTTTAATTAAGATTTTTGAAAAATTTGATTCATATATGAGTATAAAGTAGATAATTATACCACACTAAATCAACCCAATTAAAAGAAATTCCATCAAATTTTTTTTTAAAATTGAATCAATTCACTTTATAAAAAATAGTTCAATTAACTGATTCACTTTTATAAAATAAACTCATTTGGTTCAGATTGAATTTTTCAAAAAATTTGATCCATAAATACCCCTGCATTTAGTGTGTGTATATATATATATATGAGTTAATCATCTATACACTGCCAGTATAAAGTTTTTTTATACTGACAACCAATTATATCTTTTAATTGTACCATGTCACTATAAACACATTTACTTTTAATAGTCACATGACACAATTAAAAAATATAATTGGTTGCTAGTGTAAAAAAACTTTACACTGGCAGTGTATAGGTGATTAACTCTATATATATTATCAATTAGAATTACAATAATAGTATTATTATTAGAATTTAAGACCTTATGCATATTATTTCAACCTCAACCATTATGCCAATGTTTATGGTTTCATGTAGTACATTGTAATGTTGTTGGTGAGGTAAAAATTAAAGTTTATATGTAGAAGATATTAATTTCTTTTCATAGTGGATAAAACAAAGGTAAAAAAAAAAACTAACTAAAAACTAGAATCAAAATCAAAATCAAATTTTATGGATTTAAAGTCAAATTTTGAATTAATAGAGACTAAAATAAAATTTTAAAATTTGTAAGAGCTAAAATTATTATTTTTGAAAATATTTTGAGAACACAATATTCTTAAAATGACAATTCAACACTTGTGGCTTGATAGTTACATGGTTGACACATATATAATATTATTAATGTGTTCATGTATACTTTTCTTAATTATATCGGTACTATGTTAATATATAATTAATGAATTTTATTAAATATGACATTTTTAAGAATTATAAGACAACAAAAAATGACAAAATAAGAATGAATCAGGACTAAAATTGAATATTTGATATTTTATAGCTACAAAGTGTACTGTAGGCTCTATATTTACTTCATTTTTTTAAACCATATTTGCTTTATTCTTTAAATGTGTGATTTCATTATCACTAATATTTTAGTTTTGCAATGCTCATGTTAAATGTTTATTATGTATAAATAAAATTTATAATAAATTATATATAATTTTTTTAATATAAATTATATTAAAAGTTTATAAAAATAAATATTTTTAATCATATACATTATAGTTTAGCTTGGTGATAAATAATTTATATTATGGTATGAGATTATTTTTTATTTATTAATAATTTATTTAAAATATAATACATAAATATTTATGATAAAAAATTGAATTAGATAATAAGTTGAAAAAATTCTTAAATACCCTTTTACTGAAGAATAACTCTTAAAAATATTTTCATGCTAAATAAAGTTCATGTTTAATATATTAGAGTTGATTTAGTAATGGTGATATTTTATTAATGTATTATATATATATATATATACTAAGAGAGTATAACTATTTTTACAATTTCGGTTGCTATAAGAATAAAGTGGTCCCTCCACTAAAAAAAATAGCTTACATAAATATATTAAACTAATTGAAGAAACATCTCAGATTTAAGACTTTTCTTTATATTTTAGATGTAAAATCTATATAGCTATAGTTACATAAATATATTAAACTAATTGAAGAAACATCTTAGATTTATGACTTTTCTTTATATTTTAGATGTAAAATTTATATAGTTAAAAATACGTAGTAGGTGAAATTGGTTAAACTAAGTCAGTTATGATCATACTTTTTGTGTGTAACTTTGTGTTTTCACAAAATACAAGGCATTGTAAAAACACTCAAATATGCATAATAAAAATACACTTTTGTAAATTTATACCATACAAGATTGTCTTACTTTTTTATTTGCTTTCCTCTAGCTCCTTTTTTCCTATTTTATGCGTACATGATATCAAAAGCTTCATTAATCTTTAAGGCTTCGTGAGTGATAGAAAAAAAAATTAAAAAATAAAGTTTGTGTGTGTGAGAAAAAATCATCAAGAAAACTCACTTAAAAAGCCTTCACTTAATGACTTCTAGTAGTAATTTCTTACCTCCACCTCTAATATTTGTTGGAGAATTATGATTTGTTGAAAGCATAAATGAGAACTTATCTAAGAGCTTAGAATCTGTGGGAAGTTGCGGACAAAAGGAAGTAATCCAACTTCTTTACTAGACAACTCAACAATGCTTCATATAAAATTTTACATCAATCAAGTGGTTAAAGAAGGTAGAACACTTGCCATCAAGCCAAAGACAACATATGCATGGACCAAATCTCAAAGAGTAGCTATTTGTCAATGGGCCAAAGAACTAAAGTTACTCAATGAATATGCTTCTATAATTTAGGTAAATGTGTTGTTATTAAGAAGGAAAAATTACATGAAATGAAAAGTCACGATTACCATTGATGTATAATTGAGTATTATAATCAATATTTGTAGTACTAGAGGAGCTATAATTTAGGAGACAAAATAACCTAAAAGATAGCGTAATAGAGGGCTCTAAATAAGGAGTAAAAATATTCTGCAGTTATAAATCTCTTAATCTAAGGTGAGAGACATGGAAATAAAATCTCAACAAAAATATGTTGTACATTGAAATAAATTGAAGTGGAAATGTGAGTTGTTGTGTTATGTGTGTTAATCATCTTCCATCATCAAAGTCAATTAATTCAAGATCTCTCAAGCTATCATATCCAGTATTTTGATGACTACCACTATCACCATGTTTATGAGTGTATGCCTCATGAAGCAAGTATTGGGTTTCATCAAAATTTTGGCTTTTATTGGTCCATGGGTGTTTTTCCATTCGTTTTACTCCTTCCAACTCCATTGCCACTTCCTTCATGCTAGGCCTTTCCTCCCCCATAACTCTCAAGCACTTAGCAGCAAGAATAGCTACTTCCATGATCTCCTGTTTATTTTCTTTATCCAAAATACCCATTTGAAGAACATCAAATAAGTGATCCTCTTTCAAGCAAGATAAAAAGTGAACTGTAAGACTCCGTTTCTCCTCTGGCCTATCAAAAGAAAAAGGTTTCTCCCCTGTTAGCAATTCTACAAGCACTACCCCAAAACTATAAACATCACTTTTTTCAGTCAATTGGCTTGTTTGCATGTACTCTGGGTCCAAATAGCCAAAAGTTCCTTGCACAATTGTAGCTAATTCAGTTTGATCAAGTGGGACCAATCTTGAAGTTCCAAAATCAGACACTTTGGCAGTGTAAGTGTCATCTAAGAGTATGTTGGAAGTCTTGACATCTCTATGGATGATGGGTATGGAAGCTGCTGAGTGTAGATAAGATAGAGCTCCAGCTGTCTCCGTTGCTATCCTAAGACGAGTTTTCCAAGATACATTAGTTGCCTTGCATTCTTTATGCAAATAATCATAAAGTGTACCATTGTTAACAAATTCATAAACCAATAAAGGAACTTCTGTCTCTAAACAACAACCCAAGAGTTTGACAACATTCCTGTGATTAATTTGTGATAGTACAACGACCTCATTAATGAATTGCTCGACCTGGCTCTGATCAACTATTTTGGACTTTTTGATAGCTACAATCTTGTTATTTGACAGAGTTCCTTTGAAAACTGTACCATAACCTCCTTTACCAATAATTAAGTTCTCATCAAAATAGTTAGTCGCTTTCTTAAGTTCCTCCACAGAGAAAATTGTGGTAGATTGAGTTGAGTCTTTTCTGGTAGAGAGTTGTTGTTTTAGAATGATACCCCCATTTTGTTGAAAGAACTTCTCCTTTAATTTGAGAACTTTTCTTTTCTGGTATATCAAGTATAGCCAAGAAGTTCCCACAAATAGAGCAATCAGTCCTAGACCAGCACCTGTTTTCAAAGTATGATGAATTAAATTCCCGAATGTAGCACTTAATTAATATCTATATAGTTTCTAAGAAGGAAAATAGTGTATGGTCAAAAAGGAAGAAAAAAGAACAAACCCAAGTGAGGTTATTATTTGCATACCAATGGCGGCCTTGGTAAATACATCACGTTGATGCCTTTGTTGGCATCCTCCATCTTCTCTTGTTCCATTTCCGAGTTGTCCTTCAGGACAAAAGCATTCGAAAGATCCTTCGGTTTCACGACAATTCTGTTCACTTATGCAATTGTGTTTGCCACTCTTACATTCCTCTATGTCTACAAGGGCATATAACAGAAAAGCTGAGAAAAATCCTACATGTTTCTTTATTAATTAACTACCAATTACTCCTACGTGAACTAGTTTTCTGTTCTTTTACACTTGAGGAGGGAAACAAATGCAACGATGCAAACTCACTAATCCTTTATATTTCTACAGAAATTTCACGTAAAAACTAAAATGGAGATATGTAGAGCTGTCAAAACGGGCCAACCCGGCCCATCTGGGCCGGCCCACCTTGACCCACTTTAAAAACGAGCCAACACAACGCGGCCCACTTGTATTTTTTCAAAAAAAAATTTGGCCCGGCCCGTCCCACCACGGGTTGGTGGGTTATACGGGCCAGCCCACCAGCACACCAAAAATTAAAAAAAAATTATTAACAAAATTCAAAATTTTAAATTAATTATAAATTAACATAATAGTCATAAAATTAACATCATTAATAGTTATAAGTCATAATTCATCATACAAAATTAAATACAAATCATGATAAAAGTTTAAAATAAAAATTTTCAATATATCATCATACAAAATAAACTACAAATCATATTCAAATTTTTATTGAAAAAAAAAATGGTGGGTTGGTGGGCCACCCGGCCCACCACGGGTTTAGCCCGGGTGGGCCGGGTCAAAGTGGGCCAGGTTGAAATATACCCACCTACTATAAAACTTCAATTTTTTTTGGCCCGGCCCGGCCCGTTTTCAAGGTGGGCCGGGTTGGCCCACGGGTCCCGGCCCACTTTGACAGCTCTAGAGATATGGGATTTTTAATTTTGGAATAACGTTGTTTAAATTATTAAATTTCTAAATTGAATAGTACAAGTCAACCAATCGACTATTTCAATAGGATGGCTGTTTTAGCACCTTTATTCTCTGTGCATTATTATTATTATTATTATTATTATTATTATTATTATTAAAAAGGGACATTTTATACCTCTGTGGTAAAAAAAAATGAAAAAAATAAATAACGAAATAATAAAGTGTACAATTTACTTTAAAATGATGAAATAAATTTTTATATTTTTTTATACTTTTAATTGGTACATTTTGTATGATTTAATAAAAATTCTGATTTGTTCTTAAAAAATATGAGATAATTGAATAAATTAATTAAGAAAATAAAAAAATAAACACCAAAACAAAATATTTTCTTTATTAATACTCACGGTTACATTTGGTTATATTTTTTTGTATATATATTTCTTCCATTTTATCTTTTATTTATAAAGAGTTATTACATAATCAAATGAAAAAAAAAAGTCAAACAAAAAATAAAGACAAAAGCGATTATTTAAAAATATATTCTTTTTATTAATAATTATAGATTTGGTAAAAAATTAATATAACTACCATCTAGCAAGGTAGTTAAGAAAACACATGATAAATAAACAAAGATAATTGACCTTTTGATTTTCAATATGTTTTAGCTCTTAAAAATATTCAGGTCGCTTTTATTTTTATTTTTATTTCTGGCAAAGTGAGTTCTATTATATTTTTATATGATAAAATACATCTATAGCACAAAAAATACTTTTATTTTATCTATAAAAAATATTACATAAATGTGACCAAAATTGATTGTATATTCTCTCACTTCTATTTCAATCTCTTCTTTCTTTCTAATCACTAAATTATTCTTAGTGGTCATAATTCAATAAATACAATAGATAAATATTCTTAAAATTATCTATAATTTATAATTATAATAAATAAATAGTTTTTTTTTTTTTTACTTTTCATTAGATCATTTTAAACTTTAATTGCTCTCTAAATTATTTATTTCTTTTTAACTATTACCAAAATTATCTACTATTTTATTCTTTAACTATTTTCTAAACTTTTGTTTTTAAGGAAAACTAATTTCTAAACTATTCACTATTTTCTTTTCTTATTTTACTTTTATGTCTTAAAAAATATTAAGAGGCGGCACGCTAGCTTTTGTTAAATCCAAACTGGCCTGTCATGCGAATATTTATATGCAACACTGAAACACGCGGATCTTCTTATTCAAAAAACGCCATTAGTTTCGGCCAAAAAAGCTGCCATCCAACTTTAATATTAACATAAAAAAGTTTCAATTCCACATACAGCTTTTATTTTGTCGCTTTAATTCCTATTTTTTTTGTCAGGTTTAATCCCTATCCCTTAATTTAATTATAATCAGCCATGATATGACTAATTAACAGATAAAGAAGGTTTGATGTCAATTCCCTAAATCCAACGGAGTCTACAATGGAAACCTAAAACAACCGGAGACTACAATGGATACTTTTATATATATATATATATATATATAT